AATTCTGTTCGATCTTCCATCATTAGCTAATGAAACGAGTTCAGGTCTTAAGACTTTACAAAGGGGCATTAACGGTTGTTTATCTGCCATGTCAGTCTATGACATTGTCACGGATCATTGGGATCCCATTTTAGTTTTTATTTGTATTCAGCGTCTGCCAAAACTTACGGTGACACTCTGGGAACAGAGTCTCACAGATAAGTCTTCCTTATCGTCATGGGCTCAGCTCGATTCGTTCCTTACGGAGAGAATTCAGACGCTTGCCTGTTTGCGGGACATAAAAGGTATAGATTCATCAAAATCCCCAAACAAACGCAACGTTAAGGTACATGTGGCGAAAACTTCTCCTGATACAGTAAAATCTTATCCAAAACATCGTTGTGTTGTATGCCCTAATCAAAATCATGCGCTCTACTCTTGTCATCGTTTCAAAAAGATGTCTTTCGATCAAAAAATTACTGTTGTAAAAAAGTATGGCTTGTGTTTCAATTGTTTGTCAAGAGGTCATTCTGTTAGTAATTGTCCCAGTGCACATAGCTGCTATGTATGCCATGAAAAACATCATACGCTTATGCATAAACCTAAGCGTTCGACACCTACAAATAGTTCCTCCTCAAATGTGACGCCCACAGTCCGAGTCCCAAGAACTGCTTCCAATTCTATTCTAGATAATGTTGCCTCTACATCCACTGGTGCCAATCCGACTGTAGTAAACCGTCAAGTGTTTCATACATCACATAACTCGCGAGTCCTTCTCGGTACCGCCATTGTAAATATTGTTCACGGAGGAAATTCTTATCCTGTTCGAGCCCTCATTGACCCTGCGTCTGAGGCTAGTTTTATAACTGAGCACCTTCAAACTAGATTGAAATTATCGTCTCGATCCACTCTTGCAACCATTTCTGGTGTAAATGGTTCGTCTTCCGTTACCTCTAGGAAAAACTGTCGAATTTGTATAAGCTCTCGCTTAAGTGCTTCAGTTTTGTTGAAAACAGATGCTTTTGTTCTCCCCAAGATTTCTAGTAATCTTCCATCCTTTGCTGTTGACCCTGTTTTATCTCGTTCTTTGCCAAATCTCCTGTTGGCTGATCCAAATATTTTTGATTGTCGTTCGGTAGATATGTTGTTGGGTGCGGACTTATATCCGCAAATATTGTTGCCTGGGGTACAACAAAATATATTAGGCTCTCTATTGGCGCAAAATACCGTCTTTGGTTGGATCCTCTCGGGTCCAATTCCCTCCTCACCATTGCAGGTCTTTACGACCACTTTGAGCTTCAGTGAGGAAGACAGTCTCAATAAAACCATTCTGCGTTTTGGGGAATTTGAGGAGGTTCCCAAACGCAAATTACTTTCGTCATCAGACAAGTTGTGCGAGGACAATTTCCGGTCCACAACTACAAGAAACTCGAAGCGTCGTTACGTTGTCCCACTTCCCATACGTTCTGAATTCCCTCACAGCCTGAAAATTGGTGATTCGCCTCAGAATGTTCTGAGTCCATTTTTTAGGAATGAAAATCCGCTTCAACGCAAACTTCCTTGTAGGCGCCTCCCTTTTTGCTCGGCCAGAACCTATTGTTGAAGAATCGCTATTGAATTTAGCCAATCGATATAGAAAACTGAAGGCATAGTTTTGTTCAGGTTTGCATTAGGTGGAAAGAAGAGTAATAGTTTAGTTTGAACTTTAGTCGAGATACATCCCGATAATTATGGTAAGGTTCGCGTTGCATGCGTCCGAATGCACAGGGTATTATTCGGCGACCAGTCGTCTAGTTAGTCGTGTTACATAATTAAGTCTGTTGTTTGCGAAAATTACCTCGTTTGGTTGGGTAATTTCAGGCCCGTCAATTTGTAATTGCCGCGGTATAGATATCTAATTATATGAATTAAAATGATTTGAATAAAATGCTCACAAATAAACTGAACTTACGTCCTTGTAAATCTTATTTTACATATTTATATATAACATAATTCCTTTGAGCTTTAATTAGTTGATACACATGCATGTATATCAAGGTGGGCGGCAATGTATAAGTTAGATACTTTGCCCCTCAACTTCCCTTGCTCGATCAATCACGGATGCTGATTGGCGCACAGGCATCTCCTCTACAACTCCCCTGGCGGAGACCGTAGTGAGCGGATCGTCGCTGGGCATTGGTTGTTGTCGGTAACCTCACCTTGTTACACATGCTCTCATTGGAAGTAGTTGTAGTTGTATTAGTAGACAGACATGAGATCCTCTGCGATCACCTAGAACCTCTGCGTTCACTTGTCTTTAGTCTTTGAAGCGAAACCCAACACGGCCACTGTCGCCAACACCATATTTGAAAAGAGGTAATACTTATTGTTGAAAAAACACACCAAAAGCAATTCAATAAACCAGCAAATTTTGCATGAAAAGAAATTAATTCTATTTGTTTGTTTTATTTCTTATTGTTTCTTTTCCCCCATTACTCTACATAAACACATATACTAAGAGCTAGTGTAAAATTATTCACTTTCTCATCAATTTTTTGAAATTTTGATTCCACACATTTGATAAAACATTTCGAGTTATTTTGAATATTTTTCACATTGCACTTGTGGGGATCTCTAAGTAAGTCCTTCGAGAACTTTTCCAATTTTAGGCATTCATTCGGGTATGGTTTCACGGATTCCATACTGGATGGTATGATAACCTTAGAAGACTGAAAAATAAGGGAAATTTCATTGTATTTGATAGAGAACACATGAACCTCAAATATATACCTACAACCCCAGAATTTGCCAGAATTATCTCGCCAAAAATCAATAGCGCTATGACTGCCGCCGCCATCATCAAAAGAACTGCGAACGCGATTAACAAACTTCACACGAAGTACCTACATTTCTGTGTAATTTTATGTTATACCACTAAAAAGTATGTCCAGAGAAAAAGCTTTAATAAGTTTTTGTGGTTTTTAATTATTTTTAATTATATCGATATAATATCATAACTCTGAACAAAAAACAAGCCTCATTATGTTTTTATTTCCTCTCTAAAAAAGTTCTATGTAATTGATATAACTCGCGACAACTTTATTACTACTAATGATAATAATAGCTTAATTTTTCTATTAATAAAATTATTTGTTAATTATTACAATTTTTTTGTGATGATTTTTATTGGGCATAGAGTGGATTTTATTAACAAAAAGTTAATGAGAAAAAAACTTTAAATGTTATTCCATGGAAAAATTATAAATGAATACCTAGCAGCTAATGATACTCGTATTTTCAAAGTAGGCTCTCTATAGGCATATTAAACAACATTAAAATATTTATAAGTTATATAATTTGAATATTAATATTTCCGCTCTGTTAGCCATTATAGATTTAGCGGAAAGAAATGTGTATACTTTAACGTCGTTAGTCATCAAATTTTTTAGAAACGTCAAAATATTGAGAACATATGCCGATTTCAAGTATTTTTTAGTTATTTTGTTGTCATATTTTCCATTAGAAACTATTATCAAGTAAAAAATCTGTAAGTTTGGCCAGGCCGATCTTTGAATACCCTCCACCATTTGGAAAGATTTTGGCAATTTTCAAAAAATAAAATCCGTTAAAAACCCTGTTAAAATCTTAAAAATACCGAATGTAGCCGTTATATTTGGGTCTATACGATGACGTGGACCTGCGTAGGCAGGCCAAAAACGTGAACAACTAAAAAAGCTGTAACTTCGTGCTGACCGATCTTTGAATACCCTCCACCATTTGGAACGATTTTGGCAATTTTCAAAAAACTAAAATCCGTTAAAAATTCTGTTAATATCTTAAAAATACCGAATGTAGCCGTTATATTAGGGTCTGAACGACGACGTGGATCTGCATAAGCAACTTTTGTCATAAGCCATTACAATATTCTAATGCGAAACTTGAATAAAAAATTCGGTGAATAATGTAGCTAAAAAATCATAAAAATTCCGAATACAGGGAGGTACTATTATGTGGACCTGCAGAGACAATTTTCTGCCTTAGGCTGCAGTATTCATTACGAAGTTCAAATACAAAATTTGAAACAATTCCGATTAATAATGCCTCTAAAATCATCAAAATACCAAATATAGGGAGGTACCGTTATATGGGGGCTATAAGAGGATGACGACCTGCACAAACAATTTTCTGTCATAGGCTGTAGTATCCATTACGAACTTCAAGTACCAAATTTCAAACAATTTCGGTGAACAATGCCGCTAAAATTATCAAAATACCGAAAATAGAGAGGTACCGTTATATGGGGCTTTTCGAAGGCGTGGACCTGCACGGACAATTTTCTGTCATAGGCTGTAGTATCCATTACGAACTTCAAGTACCAAATTTCAAACAATTTCGGTGAACAATGCCGCTAAAATCATCAAAATACCGAATATCGGAAGGTGCTGATATATGGGGGCTATACGAAGGCGTGGACCTGCACGGACAATTTTCTGCCATAGGCTGAAATATCTATTACGAACTTTAAATACCAAATTTGAAACAATTTCGGTAAATAATGTTGCTAAACTCATCAAAATACCGAATATCGGGAGGTACCGTTATATGGGGGCTATAGGAAGACGTGGACTTGCACAGAAAATTGTCTGTCATAGGCTGTAGTATCCATTGCGAACTTCAAACACCAAATTTGAAACAATTCCGATGAATAATGCCGCTAAAATCATCAAAATACCGAATATCGGGGGGTACCGTTATATGACGCCTATACGAAGACGTGGACCTGTACGGACAATTTGGTGTCATAGGCTGTAGTATCCATTACGAACTTCATCGGGAGGTTCCGTTATATCGGGGCTATACCAAAACGTGGGCCTACATGTCCCATTTTCAATACCAAAAGTCCTGTAGACATAATATAAGTTTGAGTAAAATGTTATCAACCTACTTAATTTCGTTCGGAAGCTAGAGTGATTTCCATAGACGGGCATCGCTAAATCGACATAGAATTTTATGCTGATCAAGAATATATATACTTTGTGGGGTCTAAAATGTTTATTTCGAGGTGTTGCAAATGGAATGACAAACTTAATATACCCTGCATACTATGGTAGAGGGTATACATTGGGAGGGAGGCACATAGTAATTTTACCGTAGCAGTGACACATACAAATATTCATATTTTTTAGAAAAATGTCTGACTTCATAATTTAAGCAATATCTGCATGTTCCTTGTGATAACATTCGAACATCATAAAAGCTGTCTCACATTGATCACTGCCCTTCACTTTGCCACATTTTTCCATTATGGCCTTTAGTTTTGCCTCACCCACACTTGGTGCCATTTTCTCCATAACCACCGAGGTCTGTAGAACACCATCAACCAAAACACCTGCCTTGGTGAGAAAACAATTGGCATAACATTTGACATTTTTATTAGCCTTTGAGAATTCTCCCTTTGAAAATTCCACTGCTTGTTCCGTGGTGATCTTTTCCTGGGCAATACAATCGCTGGCAATTCCAGCAGCACGAGCTTTCTGATCATCAGGAATTTTGAGGGGCTGCAAAAAGGGAGAGAATTTGAGAAATGTTTAATATAATCAGGTTGTTTGATATCTTACCACAAGTCCAGTGATTAGATTGGCGGAATATATTACCAGGAAGGTGACAAGAATGGACTTCATTTTTTACCGAATTTTTAAGAGATTTGTTAGCTGTAAACGTCCTTGGTGATATTTTAGCTGAAGTGCATACTGTCTTTCGCATTTATAGAAGTATTTCGCTAATGGATTTTAAATTAGGGCAATCATGCAGAAACCAAATAAAAAATCAATTTACTAAATCGCTATGGATAATGCAAAAGTTTGGGTGCATTATAAGAGCAATGATCTGAGCTACAATGACATTTATCAAATTCATCTTAATTATATTAAAAGTGCCTTACATCCTGCACCATGAACAATTAAAAACATTGGGAAATATGTCTGAATGTCCTTGTTTCAACAATTCTTGAAGATATTCTAAAATTCCAAACAATCCTATGCGCCGGAATGGCTACGTAAAGCCCCTAAATATAGGATTGCTGTATTATAATGGATATATCGTAATACGGACCCGATTAGCATACTTTGTTGTACAATATAAGGTGCCCATTAAAAAGTCTACATAGTAAATTGTTAATAAATATTAAAAAAACAGGGGAGGAGTCTTTAAAATATCTAAAATAAGACAGGGATGTAAACATACAGGGTGAGATAAAAAAAAAACTGAAACAAAGTCAAACGCCATAATCTTTTTTTTTTAAATTTTATTGAATGAAAGCAAAAAATGTCGGAAATAGCATCAAATCTTAGAATTAGTTTAGATTTGTTCGAATTGGCCAGTTTTGAAACGAATTATGGCCTTCAAACGGCTAATGAAACCGTCACACGCTGCCCGAATGTTGGTCTGCGGTATTTTGGCCCATTACAGGCGAAGCGCTTGCTTGAGGTGATCGACCCTTTGGTATTTTTTAGTGCCCACTTTGCTTTCCAAAATACTCCAGACACAATAGTTCAACGGATTGGTATCCGGAGATTTTGGTGGTCATTTTGCGCTGGAAATGAAGCGAGGAACCTCATTTTGTAACCATTGTTGGGTGGCGCGTGCGGGGTGCGATGGTGCTGAGTCCTGTTGGAATTTCCAAGGTATGCGGCCAAAATGTTTGCGTGCCCAAGGCTTTAATACACCCTCCAGAATATCTTCGCAATGATATTTCTGCCTTTATTCTGATGCCACTGTCGATTAATAAGAACGGAGAATGACCATCGGCTGTTATGGCGGCACACACCATCACCATGGCCGGCGCTTGATTTCTGGTGGCCAACCTAAGTTGCACATTTTAGCTGACCTCTTTGGCAAGTAAACCCGATCATTTTGTTTGTTTACAAACTGCTGGACAACGAATGTTTTCTCATCGGACAAAACCAAATTCGGCAGTTCACCACTTTCGGCCAAGCGATACAACTCTTTAGCTCTTTTTAGTCTATTTTCTTTCTGTTATGGTGTAAGCTCTTGCACTTTTCGGAATTTTAATGGCTTTATCCCGAGCTCATTTTTCAATATTTGCCCAATGGAATATTTGCGATATGTTCAGCTCACGAGCCATTTTTCGGCCACTGCGACGCGTGTTTCGATCAAGTCGCTTCTTTACTTTTCGTACCATTTCTGCTGATGTTGCTGTTTTCTTCCGTCCACTTCCTTGACGTCGGGCTACGCTACCAGTATCACAGTAACGAGCGATGTTATGAGACGCAAACGATTTATTCACATTTAAATGCTGGAGTGCTCTTCCGATATCCACTTGTGGTTTTCCAGCCAAATATAAAGAAATCACACTATCACGCCTAAATTCCATCACGAATAACTTTTTTTCTGGAAAATTCTCAGCAAAATGCTTTTGTACACTTGTAAAAAATATAATGAGCTGTCACTGGAATAATTTTAACAGCTGTCGGACGAGTGGCTTAGAAATGACAGCATTCTGAATTGGTTGGTTGCAGTTTTTTCATCTCACCCTGTACATATTGTAAATGTCATAAATAAATGAATTTTAATTATTTTATCGGTGGTTTAAGTGAATATCTGCATGCAATTAAAAATCAATAAAATGGTCATTATTTCAAAAACCCATTTGAGCCACAATATGATGTAGGTAATTTGAAAACATGCAATGTTGGTTAAGTGCAAAAGTGATCCACAGTCAGATGAAATTAATAGGCGTTGCGAGTTAGGAAGTTATTTTGCTACTTTTACCGTCTTCTTTTTAAATTCCAGATACATGACGATAGTCTTCTGTGGGAACTTTTACAGTGATCCTTCAAAAATATTTGTCTAGATACTGATCGAATAAAAGAGATTTATACCCATTTGCCCATTTTCTTTTTTTTTCCTTAGTTCCTCGTAAGATTTGAATCAAAGTTAAAATAAACAGATAGCAAATACAGCTTATACATTTTTTTAAACAATAGATAAAATTAGTTGAATTTAGATTTTAGTTACTAAATTGCTAGTTGACAACCACTCTAAAACTTTAATTAAAAATTATGAAAATACAGAACAATTAAATATTTCAATAAACAGCATTTACGTGAGAGTCACATTTCATTATCACACAACTTTACCAGAAACAATTAGTGAAAGATTAACGTGTTATTTATATGATAATTTTTTATTTAAATTCTAACGTGTTAAATTCTAAAAAAAAAATATTAAATTAGTAGCTGCAGTATTTAATTGATTTGTATTAACATTTAATACAATAGTGTATTTCACAGCAAGTAGGCAATTAAAAATAAACACTTCATAGCTGCATCAAATCGGATGTGGTGTATAATGTGAAGATTAAAACAGAAAATATCAGATACATGAGCAATTGAAAATAACGGATAGTTTGTTGGGGCTACGCTAACTTTTTTCACGCTTATGGTCCTAAAATCAATTAAAAACTGAACAAAATCCACACTTATGATACTAAAAAATTTTGGAAGAAATCTTGTAAATATCCCTACATATTTGTAAAAAAAAAATTATTAAAAAGTCAACGCTCAATCCAGGCTCATGATGCTTAAAGTCCATGGAAGAAATTTTAGAAAAAAAAAAAATAAAATCCATGTTTTGGCACAAAATCTTTGCACAATTCATGCTTATGGTATTAAACGTTTTTGAAGAAATGTATGGAAAATCTACTCGCGCGAAAAGTTCCTGGGAAGCCTTTGCAAACCATTCTTTAAAAAATGCACGCGTTGATTTGAAAAAACCTTGGGAAAAATCCAACTGGACAATTTTTATTAAAAATTGTTTATAGATCTGTCCTTGTCCTTGTACATTTTCTTTTACATCTACATTTATATAAATCTTAATGTCCTCGGATTTTTTTTAAATCCACGTTTATAGATCTTGATGTCCTTGGACATTTTTTTAAATCCACGTTAATATACGTCTTGATGTCCTTAGACAATTTTTTTTAAATCCACGTTTATATACGTCTTGATGTCCTTGGACTATTTTTAAGTCCTCGTTTATAGGACTTGATGTCCTTGGACAATTTTTTTTTAATCCACGTTTTTTGGATTTGATGTCCTCGGGCAATTTTTTTCAAACCCACGTTTATAGGATTTGATGTCCTTCATGATTTTGTCAAACCGACGTTAATAGGTCTTTAAATTGTTAGAAAAAATTTTACTTATTTGGTTAAAAAATTCTTTAAAAAATGCACGTTTATAGGTCCTTAAGTTCTTGAAAAAATATATTTAAAAATCAACGTTTATAAGTTTTTAAGTCCTTGGAAAAAAAACCTTAAAAATTCACGTTTATAGGTTTTTATGTCCTTGGAAAAAATTCCTTAAAAAATCCACGTTTATAGGTCTTTAAGTTATTGGAAAAAATTCTTTAAAAAATCCACGTTTACAAGTCTTTTAGTCCTTGGAAAAAAATCTCTAAAAATTCCACGTTTATAGGTCTTTAAGTCCTTGGAAAAAATCTTTAAAAAATCCACGTTTACAGGTCTTTTAATCCTTGGAAAAAAATCTTTAAAAAATCCACGTCTACAGGTCTTTAAGTCCTTGGAAAAAATTCTTTAAAAAATCCACGTCTATAGGTCTTTAAGTCCTTGGAAAAAATTCTTTAAAAAATCCAAGTTTATAGGTCTTTAAGTCCTTGGAAAAATTTATTTAAAAATCTACGTTTATAGGTTTTTAAGTCCTTGGAAAAAATCTTTAAAAAATCCACGTTTATAGGGAAAAATCCTCGCTTATAGGTCTTGAGGTGTTCGGAAAAAATCTGTAAAAAAACCAAATTTATGGTTTGACACGTCCTTGAAAAAATTCTTTAACAAACCCATGCTTATGGAAGAAAAATATGTCAAAAATCCACTCTTATGGTTTTAGAAGTCCTTGAAGAAAAATATTTCAAAAATTCACGCTTATGGTTTTAGAAGTCCTTGAAGAAAAATATTTTAAAAATCCATTCTTTTGGTCTTAGAAGTCCTTGAAGAAAAATATTGCAAAAATCCTCGCATAAGGTTTTAGAAGTCCTTGGGAAAAATATTTTAATAATCTTCGCTCATGAAACTAGAAGTTCTTAGAAAAAAAAAATTCTTTAAAAATCCACGCTTATTGTTATAGAAACTCTTGATTTTTTTTTAATTCAGACTTAGTCCTTGGAAATAATTTTGCAGATCTACATCTTTTCACCTTCACTTTCAATTAAATAAAATTTCGTGTGTGCTTATTTTTTAATTTCTTAAAAAATTTATTATTTGAATACTGAAAAAATCCGGCTTTACACTTAAGCCTCAAAAGAAGGCAGCATGTTCCCTGTAGTAGCACTGATACAACACAAATGCAGTTTCACAATTATCACTGCCCTTAAGGCTATTACATTTCGACATTATGACATCCAATTTATCCTGGCCAACATTGGGACCTAATTTTTCCGACAGCACAGCCGGTTGGACAACACCATCGACAAGAAAGCCGGCCTTTTCCAAGAAGCAGTTACCAAAGCATTTGGCATTCTTGTCCAAACCCTCAAATTGACCCTTTATCAATGCCTTGGCAGCATCGGTGGTGCTCTTTTCCGTTTCCAAACACTCGGCACTGTATTTCAAGGCCTTTAGTTTTTGTTCTTCGGTTAGGTTGAGGTGCTAAAAGAAAAACGTATTTTAATGTCAAAAAAAATATTTTTTTCGCTCAGTCCATCTTACCTGCTGTCCATAGGCAATACCGCAAACGATGAGGGCCACAAAAGCAACGGCAAACTTCATTGCTGAGATATTAGTTAGCTTTTAATTATAATTTAAAGTATTTGTTCTAAACGCCAACGCGATACTGCTTAGGAAGTTCCAGTTTGTTTCGGCTATTTATATTCATTTCATGTTTTGCATTGCGTCGCTGCATGCGGTACAAGCCATTAAAATTTAAATACGATACTTTTGTTAACTAAAATATCATGCATTTTTATGATACCCATGGTCGTCAAATTAGTCATTCCTACTTGTTGTTTTTTTTTTTTTTTCAAACATGTGTATTAATAATTTTAGCTACCACTGTATTTTGGTTTCGGTTGTTATATAACTGGTTTTAGTTGCCGGCATTTGGCAACAACAAATTTTGTGCAAAACTGCAACAGAGCCATGTCGCTAGGTTTCGGTTTTTGTTAAAATATGACATTATTAATGATTGACAATTCAGATTAAAGGTTTTGAGGAAATCACTGCATGTTAGTTTTGACACTTGGGGGAATCGTATTTTACAATTTACCTAATGTGTTGAAAGGTACACAAATTTAATAATTGCATTTGTAGATTTTGATATATTTTTTTAAAACATGATAATTTTATTTATCTAGACCTAATTTTATTAGAAAAAAACTAAAAATATTTAGAGAATATCTAGACGGTTTTGCGATAGGTATAGATACTCGACCTAAAGCCGTTATATGTCATTTGTGGGAGAGCTACCAGAGGAAATAGACAGATATATAATTAAATTGAAAAAGTTGAATAGAAATATTAAAATGAGCAAAGTTAGAAGGAAACCGGGCCCACCCTTTGCTTCGTAGAAGAAAAAAACCTGTTTGTAATATAGATATGTCATGGGATGTAAGTACCTTAAAGCAGCAATAGCGAATCAGTATTTGCTATTGCTTTTAATAAAATTATATATAGTTAAATATTTTTTTCAATAATTCCATTGAAAACTCCGACTAAATTCAGTAAGGAAAGGTCGGGCGGGGTAGACTATGTGATATCCTACACCACTATGCGTATTTATTAGGGCTCCCGTAACAAAAAAAAAATTATATTGGGAATTTATGTGAAGTAGATCGTACCAACTATGAACCATATTTGAATGCGTATCATGGCTTTGGAGTAGTCACAGTTTGGAAACTATATCGAACTCTGAATCGATTTTTAACAAATTGGGAGAAGGTTTTGCACCTCTAGTAACAAATAGCATTGCTGTATTGTGAATGACATGACCTCGATAAGAATTAAATTAAACCAGTAAGGAAAGTTCAAAAGTCGGGCGGGGCCGACTATATGATACCCTACACCACTATGCATATTTAGTAGAGCTCTCGTAAAAAGGTTTATACAGGGCATTTCAGAGCTCTATGTGATATTTGGTACAAAATCAAAATCTATCGTGCATTTTACGTACTATAGCTATCTTTGAACCGGGTTTCTCCAAATTTGACGTATTAGCTTCTAGACTGAATTCGGTCTTATGTACGAAAATTCAGGTGATTTGGGCTGATATTGGCCATTTGTTGCACAATTAACACGAAATCGGATGAAGATATATATAGGAGGTATATCCAAATCGGAACAGATTTTAATAAAATTAAAATCAACTATTTTTGGGCTTTATCTGATATTTGGTACCAAATATCATTCCTGTGGAGTGCATATTACGAATGTGAGGGACTTAAAGACCAAATCGGACGAAAGATATATAGTGGAGCTATAGCTATATCTGAACCGATTTTTACTAAAATTGGTGTACTTGCTTCTAAGCTGGTTTCGGTCGGATTTGCCAAAATTGATGATATTACGGCCATTTGGTGGTCAATCACCCGAAATCGGATGAAGATATATATGGGAGCTATATCCAAATCTGAACCGATTTCGATAAAATTTAAAACAGCTATTTCTGTGCTCCATCTAATTCCTGGTACCAAATATCACGGTTGTGGAGTGCATAGTAGGAATGTGAGGGACTTAAAGATCAAATCGGATGAAAGATATATATGGGAGCTATAGCTATATCTGAACCGATTTTCTCCAAATTTGATATACTTGCTTCTAGGCCGAACTCGGTTGGGTGTGCCAAAATTCAGGTAATTTGGACTGATAGTGGACATTTGGTGCACATTTAACCCGAAATAGGATGAATATATATGTGGGAGCTATATCCAAATCTGAACCGATTTCGATAAAATTTAAAACAGCTATTCCTGTGCTCCATCTAATACCTGGTACCAAATATCACGGTTGTGGACTGCATAGTAGGAATGTGAGGAACTTAAAGGTCAAATCGGATGAAAGATATATATGAGAGCTATAGCTATATCTGAACCGATTTTCAAATTTGATATACCTACTTCTAGGCCGAACTCGGTTGGGTGTGCCAAAATTCAGGTAATTTGGACTGATAGTGGACATTTGGTGCACATTTAACCCGAAATCGGATGAAGATATATATGGGAGCTATATCTAAATTTGATCCGATTCTCACCAATTTCAATAGGGTTCGTCCTTGGGCCAAAAATATATTGTTTGGAAAATTTCATCTCAATCGGATAATAAATGCGACCTGCATTTTGTTCACAAGAATACATGGACAGACGGACGGACGGACGGACTGACATGCATAAATCGACTCAGAAAGTGATTCTATGAAGGTTCTCAAAAGTAACTATGGGTCTATTTCGGTTCCTTCTCCATGTTACAAACAAATGCACAAAGACATAATTCCCTTACCACTATGTGGTGTAGGGTATAAATATTTATTGGAACTATAGATATACCGGACATAGTTTCACCAAATGGAAAAATTCGGTTATGTTTGGTTCGGTTCGGAATATGAAAAAATCTATCCAATTTGGGCTAATATTACATGTATGGTGGATAATAACCGAAAAATCAAATAAAGATGTGCATCGAAGGTACATAAAAATCTGAAGCCATTTCGATACAATTTGACAGTGATGTTTTCGTGCTGTATCTGATATCTGGTACCAAAGATAATAGTTTTGGGGTGGATGAGGAACTTAAAACCCCAAATCGGATGAAATATATGTATGGGATCAACAGCTTTATCTGAACCGATTTTCACCAAATTTGAAGTAATTGTTTCTAGGACGAATTCAGTCGGAATTTCTAAGCAATTTATCCATATATCGGATAAAGATATGTATGGGAGCTATATCCAAATCTAACCTGACCTCGATAAAAATTGACAGAAGCATTTTTAAGCTATATAAGTTATCTGGTACCAAACATCATTCTAGTGGAGTGCATATTATGCATGTGAAGGACTTTAACACCAAATCGGATGAAACATAGATATGGGATGTGGTTGCTTCTAGCCTGAATTCGGCCAGATTTGACAAAATCCAGGTAATTTGGTGCACAATTAATCTGAGATCGATTGAAGATATATGTGGGAGCTATATCTAAATTTGGACCGATTCTCACAAATAGGGTTCGTCCTTGGGTCAAGCAAATGATTTGTGGAAATTTAACAAATTTAACAAATTTAAGGCTATGCAGGACCCGTCATCATTTAATACGTGCCTCATCGAAATAACGGGTTTAGGTCCTAGGGCTCTTTGAACCAAATCCATTTCAGAAAATTTAAAGTCGACCTATTGATGTCCGTCCGTCCGCCTGTCTGTCTGGCTGGATGCAAGATAACTCTCAAAGGGTGTGTCCGATTTGGTACAAACTTGGTACATCGTAGTATTGTTGTCAAATTAATATAGAGTTCAGAGATGGGTAATATCGGTCCACACCTTCTGGTATCTCCAACACAAAAGCTCAAAATCTTCAAAGAAAATAATATACCGAATAGGACACGAACGGTTTACCCAATTTTGTACAAACTTTGCAAGTTTGCATCGGTGTTATGTCAGGTGCAAAAATGGACAATATCGGTCCTTTCCACCATATACTTCCCACACAAATGGTCAACATTTGGAATAACTATAACTCTTATAAAATACGAAATAAGCATCCAATTGTCTTCAAATGTCGCACTTCAAAATATATCTACTAGCAGAAGATCTGATGTGAAGATGGAATACATCTTGTACATATACAAAAAAAGTCGATATTTTCAAAAAATATTTTTAATAACCAAAACGATTATAAAATCTAAAATAAGCATCCGGTTCTCTTCATATTTCACACATTCAATAATTTCTACAAACACAATATCTGCTGTGAAGATGGGATGAATACCCATGAAGCTCATTAAACCGAAATTACCATTCGATTCCATTCTGACTTGGCACATCTAAATTTTTCTATGAATACAAGGTCTATTATAATGATGGTAGAGATCGGATCAGTCCTTCTGGTACCTCTCCCACAAAGGATCAACATTTTGAATATCCATGAAACTGATAAAAAGCTAAGTTCACATCCGATTCCATTCAAAAGGGTCACAATCTCTTATCTGTCATAAATTGCGAAACAATTCAGAGATTTTTTACAACTTGCTATATCTTAATATTTCTCTGCTTCAATAGTTTTAAGGCTATGATGCCATAGCCATAGACAAAGCAATATCAAAATTTCTAAAATTTGTAATTAAAGTAATATAAAACAAGTAAGCAAAGACTACAGTCGAGCGGGGCCGACCGTTGAATACCCTACAACACTATAATAAACGATACAGTTTATATAGGCGAGATACTCGAAAGATTTCCACAAGATATTGTGACAAATAATAAAAGAAAACCATCAGGTTTCGTTCTCTAATTCTCGAATAATAACAACTTAAATATGAGATACAGACATTTGACTATATTCTTCAACGAAACCAGCGTTAACGAAATAGTCAGAAGTGCGTCTTTCCTGTATTTGTGAATTCTCCAAAAAGTCACTGGGATGAACATTTTCGTATTTTGTCTATGATTGGCAAAATATTTCACACATTGAATATTTTTGGATGGCCATCCAAAACTGCTTGGCTATTGCAATGTCCGATAACCCCCATACAAATGTGCGTGAGGATCGGGCGATAATTACGACCTGCTGACAATTTTGCAGTTTTTTGGTCCATTTCAACCCCTAAATATATTGCGATCATCTCCAAAAAGAGTAGGCTTCTATTCTGACCCTCATCTTATACCC